CCCCAAAACCCCAAAACCCCAAAACCCCGGAGCGAAGTATTCATACCAGTTGAGAAGTAATTTAATTCAAACTAAGAGCAATATAATTATCATTTTTTTTCTCAATAGCAGTATTCATTCATTTTATTATAATTTGTTGGATCAGAACTTAGCCCCTTGAACTTTCCTTTTCTTAAGATTAGGATTTACTAAAGTTCCTTTTGGTTTCCTTTTCTTATTTGCTTAGCTATCAGGTATATAGCTAACTAGCTAATCTCTCTTTGAGGCAGAATCATTAACGTGTAAATTATTGAATTCATCAGAAATAGCATTAACTTTCTTGTCCTTCTCAATATTTACCTTATCTTTATTCCTTTTCTTTTCTTCTTGATATATATCTGCTAAATTCAAAAGCAAATCCTTAATTATTTCATGCCTCTCTCTTCCTTTGATCTCGTAATCTGTCATGTCAAATGTACCAGTTATTCTGGCGCCTATCATTAATGGATAATGAATTTGAAGTATAAGACAATCCTTTAGTACTTCAGTCTCAGTATTGAGATGAAATTAGTTCTTTTTGTACTTGTTTTAATTGAAAGTATTCGTGTCCAATCGTTTTATTACTTGCTTATCCACTGACTTTAAGCTCACACTCTTAGAATCCAAAGCTTGTTTAAACAGATTGAAGAAGGAATGCCATGATCCCTCAATACCAGTTTTCTCTCTATGCTGCTCTAAATATTCCAAACTTAAATCAACTTTAAACAACCTATCGAATCCATTTGTTAGAAACAAACTCATATCTTCGTCAATTCGCTTTTTATTTAATTTTTTGCCATCTTACTCCTCATCCTCAAGGACGTTTTCATCAGGATCTTTATTATAGTTAGATTTTTTATCTATTATTAACAGATACCTTTCTATGAAATCTTTGCTTTATAATATTGTGTCAACTACTGTAGGATACAGAATCTAAAGCGCTCTTTTGAAATCTCCAATATCTTCAATTTATTCTTACTCTAAAGAGAAATTGAGCTTACTTCCTTTTTTCATTTCCTGTATTTTAAAATTTAAAAACTTTAATTCGTTTAAAGAAGCCTAATGCTTATGATTCATGCATTAAGGGGTTTTGGGGTTTTGGGGTTTTGGGG